CCAACAAGACAATGCATCTAACCACGCTTCCAAGGAGACGAAGAAGATTCTTGAAGACTCGGACGTCTTACTCATGGACTGGCCTAGCAAGAGCCCCGATTTGAACGTTATTGAGAACGTTTGGGGTATTCTAGCACGCCATGTTTACGAGGGTGGGCGACAATTTGACAATGTGTCTGATTTGAAGCGGCAAACTGCTTTGTCGTGGGAAATGATAGGTACTGACAACTTGAAGACGCTTGTGGATAGCATGTCTACACGTTTGGCTCAAGTTGTTTTGAAATATGGCGGTAGATCGATGTGCGCATATGAATATTACACGAAATATTTTCCGCGATTTCTAGTATTATCCCTTGTAAGATAGGTTTAGATATTTTTGCACCACACTGCAAACTCTCTTTTACGACGCAGGGCAAGTTCAGATCAAAGCAATTGTCAGGACTTCTCCGCAAAACCAAGATTTTCATGTGCGCATATAATATATTTCGCGCACTATATCCGTATTATCCATCATTTTTGTAAGAAATGAGAAAAGAAATTGGCGTTGTTTGCGTCGACGTATCGACATTTACTGACGTGAGGAGAGGCGCAACGTCGACACGGCGCCGCTGCTCCCGTCTGGATAGCTTCCGTCGCCATGAATGGCCTCCATTGTATGCTGCTGTACTGCGGACATATAGCAACGCCTGGATATTGCCACTACCGTGCGCTTCAGTTGCAACGCGGACGAGACCAAGAGGGAACGTGGCAATTCTGGCTTTGTCTGTCGGTAGCATCACTGCAGTCTTAGCAAACGAGGCAATGGGAACGAATGGTCGTCACGCCAATCTACAGGAGCGCTTGGTGGAGGGCCCATCGTTACCGGTGCTGGACGGATCGGAGTCGTTCAAAGTAGATCGGCAACATTCATCGGCATGTCTTCGATTTGGATGTCGAAACGCTGCTCGACATCACGAAGAGCGCGCGCGTCGCTGAGTGTCACAAAGTTGATGGTCACACCCTTGTGCCCAAAACGACCCGAGCGGCCGATGCGGTTGATGTATGTTTCGCAAGATGTGGGAAAGTCGTAGTTGATCACGAGCGGCACCGCGCCAGCATCACGGACACACGTGTCGGTCGTAACCAGTATACGTGAACAGCCCCTTCGAAACTCGGTCAAGGCGATCGCGCGAGCTTGTTCGCCCATGTCGCTGTCTACTTCAGACACGACAAAGTCGTGCGATCGCAGGCGGGCGGCAAGCCAGTCGGCTTTTCGTCGCGTGTTGCAGTAAATGATGGATGAGTAAAGGATGGATTGGTCGATGGTAAGCACTTCATAAAGGTCACGCAGTGTGTCGAGCTTCCATTCTTCGTGGTCGATGGCGAGGTTAAACTGCTTGATGCCGTCCAGGGTCAGCGCCGCCATCCTGCTGGATCTGTGCCGCGACTGACGTATGTTGAATATAATCCAGAACAAGTTCAAAATATTTTGAAAAAATTGTAAATTCTCGCTTCACCTTGTTGGACAAAGTCGAGTCGACAATGCTGGACAAGCGCGCGGCGAGTTCGTTCCTCGCGGGTGCGCTGTCTCTCTCCCGGACGGCGTGAACCCCCAAACTCTTTTTGCCTAGTGCGTTGCCATTCGTGACGCCCTCACGTGTGGTGTGTGCCGACACCTACATGCGCCTTAGGTATTGGAGGCGACTGGATTCAGCAGCGGATGTCTGGGGAATTGCTCAGCACGACGAGTGGAATCGACGTTGCTCGCTCGTGTCCTGGAGTCGTCTTTTCACAACGACTCAACACGTGAACGTCCCATGAGGTTCGAGCGTCAAATGCAGTGCTTCCATGTTAAGGATACATTACAAAAGCAAGAGCGGAAGCATCATCGAGCAACTCCAGGCCCACATCCACTGGTGACTAGTCTAAATGAGATCGGCAACGTCCATGGGCATCTCGTCGATTTGGGTGTTGTAAAACTGTTCAATGTCGCGGAGGTAACGGGAGTCGGCGGCCGTCAAAAAGTTGATCGCGACACCCTTACGACCAAAACGACCCGAACGACCGATGCGATGGATGTAGTTTTCGCGGTTCGTGGGCAAGTCGTAGTTGATCACGAGCGACACTTGTTGCACGTCAATACCGCGGGCCAACAAGTCGGTCGTAATGAGCACGCGCGAAGACCCCGATCGAAACTCGCGCATGATGATGTCACGTTCGCGCTGCTCCATATCGCCGTGCATGGCCGACACGGTAAAATCCTTCGACTGCATGCGCTCCGTCAACCAGTCGACTTTTCGTCGAGTGTTGCAGTAAATGATGGCTTGTGTGATCGTGAGGGTTTCGTAGAGGTCGCACAACGTATCAAACTTCCACTCTTCGCGGTCGATGGCAATGTAAAATTGCTTGATACCTTCGAGGGTGAGTTCATCGCGCTTGACGAGGATGCGGATGGGGTCGCGCATGAAGCGCTGCGTCACTTCGAGCACGTCCAACGGCATTGTCGCGCTAAACAGGGCCACTTGCACCTTTTCGGGCAAGAAGCGAAACACGTCGTAGATTTGGTCCTTGAACCCACGCGACAACATTTCATCGGCTTCATCCAGCACAAACAACTTGACATCGTCCGTTTTAAACGCGCGGCGGTTGATCATGTCGCCGACACGGCCGGGGGTACCGACCACAATGTGCACACCAGTTTGCAACGTGCGAATGTCGTCGCGGACAGCGGTACCACCGACGCACGCGTGGACGAGAGTGCCAGTGTAGTCGCCCAACGCCATCACGACTTTGACGATTTGGAGCGCCAATTCACGAGTAGGGGCAAGGATCAATGCTTGGGTGGCACGGAGAGCAGGGTCAATCTTTTGCAAGATCGAGATGGCAAACGTGGCAGTCTTCCCGGTACCAGATTGGGCTTGGGCAATGCAATCATGGCCCAACAAGATGGGCTTCACGGCGCGTTGCTGGATCGCCGACGGCTTTTCAAAACCGTATGCGTAAATGCCGCGGAGCAAGTCTTCGCGCAAGTCCATGCCATCGAACGACTCAATCACTTCTTCCCAGTTGGTGTCGATATCACCATCGTGGATGGCAGGAGGGGCAGAATCCTCTTGTTGTTCCCGGCGGGGGCTACACAAAAACGGACATCAGGACCGCCGACGGCGGCAGCGGCGGCGGCGTACCTTCGTGGCGCGTCAGACATATTGTTTTTTCGTAATAAAGCCACACCACCAATCGGCTGACTGAAGTTGAGTATGGCCAGCTCACCAATCACGTTTTCTGACCAATCCGAACCGACTATTCGGAATTTCCACCAATCAAATGCCTTCGTTGGCCAACGGCGACATCTGGGGGGCGAAGTGGACAATGGTTCCACCAATCAGAGCGGAGCGTTCCTGAAATTCCGAACGTGAAGATGTGTTTTCGGCGCCTTTTGTTACTTGGGTTCATGTGAGTGATGGACCCTGCGACAGCGCTCGACGGCAGAGAAGACGCCCCAGGAACGGAGATGAGTGTGGTTTGGACAGCTGCGTGCGGCAAAGGACTGGCAATGGGGCGACTTGTCGTGAATGCCCAAGACTCGACTGGGTAGCCACGTGGGGGAAGTTTTTCCTCGCACCCGAGAGGGATTGCAATGTTTGAAAGTACTGGAATCGGGCGTTCCATGCTCAGCCGTAGCTGCCTCTGGGTGACCGATGGGCACACATCGGCGACCTCCAACACGACATTTTTCGCTCGATGCCGCTTCGCAGATGCGACATGACATTTGAAACGTGTGCGATTTTTCCATGGTATCCGGATGCTTCCACCGCTCGTCGACGTATCCGGATATGCCGTGAACCGTCACTTCAACCATGCATGACGCCGGCGAAGGAGAGACCGCCGCAACAGACTCTGTCGCAGAGACGCTGCCACAAACCGGCAGCGGAGCGGCAAATCCACTTATCCAAGACAACGACGGCGACGAGGATGACGAGAATGGCCAGGCCGCATGGTCCAAATACGAAGCGTTGAAGGCCAAGGCAACAACGTTGTCGGCGGTCGAAATGGATGCATTGGCGCAGTGGAAATGGTACGTGAGCCGTCTGCGCGGGTCATGGCCATTCGCTACATGCTTGGTTGTAGGCTCAACGGACGACTTGGCGAAGCCATCGATAGCTACTTGGAACTGGCCCGGGCACATCCCAAGTACCTCCACGTCCACTTCAAGCTGGGCTACCTATACTTGATCCTGCAAAACTACGAATCTGCGATTCAACACCTCACGTACATCTCCGCGAGGATCGTTCAGCCCAAACTTTGTACTCACGTGCTTGATTGTAGACTCGAAATGGACAAGCAAGCACACTTGCCACCATTGACGAACGTCCGCCGAGCTAAGATCTTAGCCCGAAAGGTGCGACACATTCAGCATTCCACTCTTTCTGACGACGTGGCGGTGCAGGCTTATTTTTGGTGCAGTGCTGCCGGGCGCATGGAGGCCCATCATTGCCTAAAACACGCTGACGTAAGCCCTCCCACTTGAAAATGGGTGCGAATGATGTTTGGGCATCAGAAACAAGCCCTCGACGAGCGGTTGGCGGCGAGCGACGGAGGCAGTTCCACGGAAGGTTTGGTGGCCATGGGCTGCCTGTATCGACAGCTCGGGTTGCTCCAACGTGCCGAGTCGTGTTTTGATCAAGGTTACCTTGATGTCCCCACCGACACCCGTGTGAGTGACGCCCTGGGACCTCTGTAGCGTCGCAGCTCAAGCCGAATGACCCGAGCTACTTGGTCGAGTACGGCAAGCTGCTTTTATTGCAACGGCGGCCGGCACCAGCTCTTGGAAAGTTCAGCGATTGCCGCCGAGTGGCACCAGCCCTGAGCGAGGACCTCTTTCAAGCGATGCTGGGCGAGGCCGTCGCAAACATGCGATTGCAAAAGCCATCAGGTATCATATTCCACCCGCTACGATGCCCATGACGTGGGTGTCCCGTTGGTGTAGCGGCCCAGAGCATCTTGCAAAAGATCATCGACAGCCTGTCGCCCATGGTCGAGCAAGGTAAACCTATGGCGGCCGACGACAATGTCGAGACGCTCTTGGCTTGCAGCGTCATGGGCAGCGGGGTTTTTGAACCGATCGCGATGTAGGACTGGCGCCGCTCATGATGAACTCGGAGATGGACCGCATGACGATACGTCAGATCCTGCACCAAGCCATCCACTGCCAAGGTTGACCTGGCTCGCCGTGCGATCTCACGATGGCGTGTAGGGTGCTGTGCGATTCTCCAAGGCGACATCCAAGGCGCACTCGATGTATACTACACCGTCGTCGCCGAATTCGCCGATTTTCAGGTTGGACTCCACTCCGCACCATGCGTTGACAGCGCGTGTGCAGTTGCCGGTCATGTGCGTTACGCCAGGGGCACGGGACGCCAAAGGCCACCTCGTCGACACTGCCATGTTTTCCACCGACAGAATCGTCGACTTGCTCTTGTATCTGGATGAGGTCTGTCCACCCGCCCTTCGTTTGGAGCGCGGCGTGACTTGGTCTAGATTGAATTGCGATATGGTCCCGACGCATGCCTCTACTTTCACCGGTACTCGCGTCTTAGCGTCCACAATCGTGATGGGCATGATGACCAGCGCCAACGTCTACCGCGCCCTCGGCGACTTGAAGAGCTTCATCGACGACTTGACCATGGTCGAGTCGTTGAATCCGGTCTTCCTCCGCCACTACTTGGACCACGTACGTCCACGGCAAAGACGCACCCTCCGCGGTCTCGATGACGAATCCATCTTAACCTTTTGCGTGGACAGGATTGCTTCGGCGATTTCTTGGACGAAGAAACCATGACGTGGATTCCGCTCGACATGCTCGAGTCGATTTGCGAACTCACCAAGCCGGTGCTGCCTGGAGTTGCACGTAGGTGCAGCCTCTGTGGCCCGATGCGTTCGTCATGGCGGGCGTAGCGCCCGCGACCGTGTTCATTGAAGCCGCGGTGCACCAGTACTTTGAAACGAGGCTGCACTACGATCACGACGGCGATCTGTACGCCCAAGTGTTTGCCATCGATTCGCTCCGCCGGTTGGATTTGCATGGTACGGGCCCGAGGCACACACGTCCGACTTGGGGCTCGGCGGAAATCCTGTCGGCTCTCTCGCTCAACCATCCGGTGGTCGCAATTAGAGGAAGTTCCGCTCGCGATGCACCGACTTCGCCAAGGCACTGGCATCTCATTCGACGACTCGCTATGCCACTTGCATCCGTCCGATGTAAACCTGCTTCGTTGTCAGTACATGCGTGCTCATCAAGCCATCATGTGGGTCAGGCGTCGCCTACGGCCAAATCCCGCATCGAAGCACTGGTCAAGTCGCATCCTTCGAATCCGACCGTCCACTTTGTCGCAGCTCTTGTCCACATGTCCGAACTTCGCCTGGATCGTACGCGACGACCCGCCGCCATCACCTTTCAACCAGGATGTTGTCGACCAGGCGCCCACCACCACTTGACGCAATGCGTCCAAGAAATCAACAAAGTGCTCAACAAGATGAACGAGGCGTGGAAGGTCCAAGGACAGGAAGCGGCCAGCGCCACAGACGCCGTCGCCAGGTACACCTGCCGGTCGAGACGCCGTTCAACGGCCCCCGTTCGTTGTAGGTGGTCGTTTCTAGGCCACGTTCGGGCGAAATATCACGCGCTGGTTTGGTACGGGAGCACGGCGGCGATGGCGGCGACGTCAATGTTGTTGGCAGGCGATCGGTTGTGCTGCAACTGAATTTGCACGCGAATGAAGCGGTCGGAGACATGCGTGCAGCGATGGCGCTGCTGCCGACGGAGCCACACGCAATGGTGCGATGGACATGCATCCTGTGGCATGGCAAGTGCTGGAATGGCAGAGTCACATGCTTCATGTAGTTTGTGAAGGCATGCATGATGGTGCACTACGGCCAGCTCGCAAACGCGATCGCGCCGCTTCGAGAGGGTTTTGCGGTGCGACTTCGGCCGCTCCCCACTCTCGGTTGCAAAAACGTCTCACCAAGACGGAGTCTAGTGCTTAAGGCGCGACGGCCGCGCCAAGAATCTGGCTGTGTGCATGGATTACATTCGATTTGCAGGCATGAACTCGTTCTCGCTCTTGCCGCAGGTACGCTGCGCGCACGGGGACCGCCGTGACCTCGCAAACAGGAACTCAAGCGCGAAGGACCGGATCCACGAGAACCCGACGACGACGACGATCGTTTGCGCCGGCAAAACGCGAGCGCCGACACCCGCGGCGGCACCGTGTTGTATGCGAATGCGCTCGACAAACTATACGAAGCCGGCGTGCTCAAGTTGTCGAAAGGCCACGTTCGTAAACAGGACGCGCCACCACCTCATGCGGGTCGCTGGGGTAGATTCGGGGGGCGCTCCAGTACTTTGAATCGATTGTCTCGATCAAGGACTCGTACGTGAGCCCTGCCATCCACGCCATGTTGGACTTGCACAAGTGCAAGGACTCGCGCGTTGTGGACGAAAAGGTCCAGTCGTAAATGTCGACGATGTGCTTTTTTTTCTCACAACTCCCCTCAGGTGTTTGCTTGCCACCAACAGCTCTCGCACCGCGCCGTCCGCTTCCACGAAGTGACCTCGCTCCCGTTTGAAGGATTCAAGGACATGTCGGCATGCATTGCGTACTACCCTCACGACATGGACATGTATTGGTATCGCGGCCACTTGCACCGGCGCTACCACAACTACTCGGCTGCCATTGACGATTTCACGTCGGTACGGACGATGCGTTCGTGCGCAAGATGGACTTGTTTGGCATGAACGTCACGGCAGCCACCTAGTGCATTTTGCTCACGCTCCACTTGGGCAAACCAAAAGGCGCTCACTTGCATCGGTACGGCCTTCCTCATACACCACTAGGACGAGACATCGTTCGAATGGTCGTTGCGCATGGCGGCCACCCAAGCGATGGCGCAGAATCGCGACTCACCAACTGGATGCTGGCGTGCGATAGGTACAAGAAGATGGTGCTGGCGAGGGCGACCATGTATGTGCACGAGATGCAATGGGAGCTCGCCCTCGACGACTTGAACGAGGTGCTGCATTATGCGCTGCGCGACACGCAGGTCGAAGCCTCGTTCTTGCTGCACGTGTACGACAAGCGCAGCAAGGTGCTCGTAGCTCTCAAGCAATACGATGCCGCGATCGTGGTGCGTGTGTTGATGTTGGGCCTCTCCACTCGTCCTTGACCACGTCGTCCGTAGGAGATGGAGACCGTGCTCGCGCTATCGAAAGACCACATCGAATGGAACGACAACTCGCTGCTCAACATGCTCCTCCTCGCAAACCTGCACTGCCATGCCGCAATAGAATATCAAAAACGGCATCACGCTGGCATGTACACAACGTTTTTGTTTCCAACCAAGGCAAGCGGCGCAGATCCATCGCTCCACCTTCCTGCAACCACCGTGGCTAGGAAAATCCGCTCGCCGCATCAGCGACGCAGTCGCTGCGCAAAGCGCACGAGTATTACAACCAAGTGCTAGACCAGCGGCCGACGTTTCCGCTTGCGCTCTTCCTCAAAGGTTCGTCGCCCGCGCCGACCACGTACCAGCAACACACGTTGTCGTGGATTTTAGGGCGCATGCACGCGCTGCTGGGGGAAAATTCCATGGCGTTGGATATGTGGACCAAGTGCCTCAGGTTCGACCCATGCATGGTGGATCGACCAACGCGATGTCTGCGTGCCAGGCAAGATGCCAAGTTTTTGGTTGCGAATTTCCTCAAAGGAAGTTTGCGAGCGCAGCAGTGCTTGCCCGACCTGGCGCTGGCCGAGTTTTTAACGGTACCCCGACGATGGCTTGTGGGTATTGTGGCCGACATGGCGATCCTAGATTCGAAACCAACTCCCCGAGTACCCCCACGTCCAAATGTCGATCGGGTACTGCTACTACCTCCAAGGCAACGTCAAGCGAGCGGTCGTGGAGCTCACGGAAGCACGTACGGGGTTGTCGAAACCACTCTATGGTACTCATCGCTTTGACCAGTGGCCCAAAACCCCGCCGACGTCGACGCGTGGTACACCCGTGGCGTGTGCCTCCAAGAACTGCTCGCGTTGTCATCGGCGATCGCCGACTTTGGGCGCGCCGTGGCGCTGCAACCCACCCACTGGCGCGCGTGGTATCAGGTGCGAACGAATGGCTCACGTTGGTCGCGGCCCACCTCGCCGCCGCTTGCGTGGTAGAGGGGAATGTGCCACCTCTTGCTCAAGGATTATACGAGCGCCCTGCTCGACTTTGGCAAAGCAGCGCCACATTTACGTGACGGCTACGCCGCCATCGGCTACGTATACTTTTGCCGGGACATGTTCCTGGAGGCTAGCCAAGGTAAACGACCTCACCAAATGACTCCCCTTCATGCGTGTGGCGCAGCGTACTCGCGGTGCTTGGACGAGCGGACCAACGATGCCAAGATTCTGCTGTACCGCGGCTTTTCGCACTACAGGCACGGCGAGCGCACCCTCGCGATGCGCGACTTTGAAAAAGCGGTGGGAACGACTCCAACGTGAATTCGATTCAAATGGGTGCATGTCGCTAGTTGAAAATCGACTCGTCGTGCTGGTTTGGCCACTTTATCAAGGCATATGTGCACCAAGAAGAAGGTCACGGGGACAAAGCGATGGCGTCGATTGCGCTGTGCATGGACCACTTCAAGCACGTGCGACCGTTTGCCGAGATCATCCTGCCCGTGCACGCCGACCGCGCCAACCCGTTCTTTCACGGACGGCTCGACGCGACGCTGGAGAAGCTCAAGGGTCTTGCGCTGCCTCAGCCGAGTCAAGGCAGCGCCGGGCCTTTGACGACAGGTCGTCCCGCCAGCAATCTCGACCGCATGCAGTGGCAAGAGATTCACGTGTGGTGGCTTGCTATCGTAGCGAACCGGGCGCATCTCCGCGCGACCTTTGCCAAAGCTGTCCGCCGCGTGCTGTTCCAGTCGCGCGTGGTATTGGCGCTGGAAAAGTTTGCTGTCCAAGCCACGTTGGCGTCGATCACGTTGTCGAAACAAATCGACAAACTCACGGAAATGCAAGTCATTGCGCCGCCACAAGGTGCGCAGCTGGACTGCGCATCGCATCTCCACGGCCGGCATGTCGTAGGCACGTTTAGTCCTGGCGCAGTCGCATGGGCGTACAACCTCGTCGGCGTCCTCTCGGCCACGCACGCCAAGTGGGACGATGCCTTGCGCAACTTTACCATGGCGATCCGCGCCGCGCCAACCAAGCCGATTCCGCACTTGAACCGGTGCTGTGCCATCCTAGCCACGAAAATCGACTCGTCATTGTGCGTGGCAGGGGCAACGTGTACATGCAAATGAACGCGATCGAGAAAGGTACGTGGATCGGCGCGCCGTCACCGGCATGATTGTCGAATGCAGCCCTGCACGAATTCCGGGAAGCGCTCAAAGTGGACCCGGCCCACGTCGCAACCCTGACGAATGCCGCGCTGGCGCTGCGCCAACTGTCTCAATTGGAGGAATCGTGCCGGCAACTCTACGCGGCAGTCGGGACGCAAGACGTGGCGCCGGCCGCCTTGGCGCACGTCCCTCCACATCATCAGCAACTCTTGTACTATGCCCTTGCCAACGTCGTGCGGGAGCTCAACCGAAACGACGAAGCCATCGAATGGTCCGTCCGATGCGTTCGAGCCAGCAGCACATTGTTGGATTTCGGGCACCTCTTGCAATCGGCACTCAACTTTGTCGTTGCTCTGCAGGTACACAAAGGCGGCCATGATAGAAACGTCGGACCACGTGCACCTCGCCGTGCGTCACAATCGCGGGGCGACCATGCATGCGCAGCGCAAGTTCCAACGAGGTATGGCCATCGATCGGGCGATGCGCGCGCGGATGACGGATGCGGTAGCGTTGGACGATTACTCGGTCGCGCTGTCGCTGCAGCCGCAATCGTTTGAAACGCGCATGAACCGCGCCGCGGTCTACATCACAACATCCAAGTGCTTTGACGCGTTGCAAGACTTGCGCGTAGCTGCGTCGCTCCAGCGTTCGTCGCCGTCGCTCATCCCGTCGACGCTGACGAGTGTGGTGTGGCAGGCGACTCGGCAGCGTGTAGTCGGCTCCTGCGCTTCTGCGATCGGTGGACGTCCGCGCTCAAGGTCGCGTGCTACGACTTTTTGTACGCGTTCAGCGCCGTGCCTTGCTTTCAAGACGTTGACATCACGTCCGCCGCGCCGCTTTTTGACAACTACATGTTTCGATTCGAGCACTTGAGCCATCCCAACCACCCATCACGTCGAGGTTGGTCACGTGGTGAGGATGGCTCTCCTCAGTGACGTGTAGCCCTCGAGGCCATGCTGGACGCTACCGACTCGCCCGACCTCCCCGACCTCCTCTATGACGCACTCATGCACATCCAGCAAGGCTCGTATGCCGACGCACAGCGCGCGCTGTTGATCGCCAAGTACTCCAGCCACATAAGCGTTCACGAGGAGCAGGCATGCCTCGTGTGGAGCGCGCAGGTTCGTCCGCTCTGTGGCGCAATGCCCTCCATGGTGATGGACATGACGAGGTGAGCTGCTTGTGTGTTGGGCAGATCTCGCACCACCTTGGCGATACGCCCGCCGCCATCGCGGCCATGGAGCAAGCGCTGCAGCGCGGGCCAGTCTTGTCAAGCTCGTCGTCGACGGTCGTTCCGCTCGACGAGGACGACATGAATGAAGCGCCAGGCAGCACGTCAGGTAAGAGCGTCACTTTGTGTGTGGGGGCTGCTCCTCTGTACCCGAAGCACTGCCATAACGCCATGCTGACCAGTGTGTGGCTCAGACGACATCTTGATTCAAAACAGCATGCGATCCGACATGGAAACGTACTTGGGCTGTCTCCTGCGCCACCAAGGGCGCACCGCCGACGCCACGACGGCATTTGAGAACGCGATTCGACTTGGACCGGCCAACGCCATCGCCCTCTTTAACGCGTGAGTCCACCGACGCTCGAGCGGTCCATTTGCCGCAGCGCTGACGTGGTGTCCAGTGCTAGCATCTACCACCACAACGGGGACTACTCGTCGATGCTAGATATGCTGCACAAAATCTTTTCCGTGATGGTACGGTCGCCATCGATGCTAGCGCATTCGACGGACGTCTGCGACTCGTAGGTGGCCGCCTTGGACGTCCTGGAGAAAACACCCCAACCGGTACACAAATTGTTGTCGTGGGGCGGCGATGTGCCGCCCACTGCATGTATTTGGCCCGCGTACGATCTCATGGGACTTGGCGCATCATCGCATAGAGCCCTGGACTCAAAGACGGAGCGCCTTTGTTGTACATGCCCCGTGACTTGGCCACAACGTTTCCGCGCTTGCCAGTGCTGGCCACGTCGACGGCGCTGCCCGTGAGTGGTGCTGTGGACAGCGACTTGAATCGTGACATCGTCGGTAGATCTGCCGTGCGATCCAGACTGTGATGAACGAGTACCGGGGGAACCTCACGTGCGATGTCGCTAAGCACGTGAGCCATTTGTGTGTGCTTCAAGGTCAATTGGCAACGCACGTGGAAGCACTGCGCGACGCGGTCAAACCCGCGCCGGACACTGCTGCGACCGCCAGGACACCGCCACTGCTACAGTCTGCCGAGTCCTCACGGTCCCTTGTACGAAACAGCGTCAGCGGCAGCCGGCGAAACATTCTTCGCCGATCTTCTGCACGACGTCTGTGGAAGCCCGAAGAAGTGGCGACACTCAACCTGGCCGACTTTAATGCCGCCATTGCGAAATGCACCGCCGAGATGATTCAACGACCGGATGTGCCCGTGAACGACGACGTCTTGGCCGACTACGTCGCACAATACGATCGCGTGTGCGCGTTCATCAACACGGCCAGCGCGCCCAACGCACCCGTGTCGCCCCTCACGCGCGATTATTCACGTGCAATGCTGTGTCGTGATGGAAGTATGAGCTCGGGGCTGTCTCGAAGCGGAAGCGTGACAGGGACTGCGATGGCGACGATGTTGACCCGACATGGACCGACGAGTGCGCGGGCGCTCGTGGCTCGAGATGAAACTAGCAGCGATGCACCCACCAAAGGGCCGCTTGGGGCGGCCTATGACAACGCAGCTGCCTCGCCGACTACCTTCCACTCGACAACCTCCTCCTTCATGCCTCAGGGGTCCTCCATCGCTGAGTGAACTCGACAAAATCTTCGTCGATGTCGCCGCATTGGGAGGTATTAAATCTTACAGGTTTTCAATCCCAAGAGCTCACCTTGTTTTCGTAGTATTACTACACATATACTAAACAGTGGACAATGGCAAGGTGATGGTTAGTTGTAGTTGCGGTCGTCGTTGGAGCGTCGTGGCATTCCGTCATACAGGCCAACGGGAAGAAGCAAGGCATCCACAGGCATCAAGATCTTCGTTCAGAGTCGACAGGATGTTCTTCACGGTGTCGTTTGAGTTGTTCCACTTGAGAGGAACAATTCACCACGCTGCAGCGAAACAGACACGACAATTGTATGGGGTGGTCGAGGGAGACGGACAAACATCTCACCATCATCTATGCTCTGACCTATTTTGCCCACATTCCGACAAAGAACGAACAACGCCAGAGACACGTTGGATTGGAACGTACCCCAAGCTCAAACGCACGTTCTTGCTTCGTCCCGAGAGCTGCCAGACCCGGAAACTAGCGACACTGCGGCGCCCTCGCCGTTTGATGCGGGCATGACGTTCGACGAAGGTGTCTGAACTCGACTTGGGTGGTTTCGGTAGCGAAATCCTGGCAACTTTGTTGGCCAATCAGCGTTGGAAAAGGCGGTTAGCACGCGTCATGATTGGCTATTCCTGGATCTGCGACATAAAATCGCGCGAAAATGGCAGAGTGGCCACGAAGCATCGGGTAAAGACAAGCAGGACGACCTCCCTCATCTGGCTCGAGGTATGTCTCGAGTTGGCCGCAGTTGGCGAGAATGTCGCGGTGCCTGACGGTGCATAGGCACATGGAGGTGGCGGCAATCCATGCAAAGAAGGCTCGAACGGCTCTTGAGAGTGTAGGTGATGTCGACCACCACGTGAGTATAGTACCATCCAGCGCTCCGGTGACCGCAGGGTCTCCCGACTCGACCGACGCGCCAATCACGCTCAAATTGTTTCAAACCGAGAGCAGTGACACCCTTCCATGCGTCCACACACTCATTCAAGCGCATTACCGCTCCATGCGAAGCCTGCGCCAAGTTCTTGTACCTCCGCCGCCGGCATTGCCGCTTCAGTTTGAAGGGCTATCGTCCAAACAAATTGAGCAACTCACCGGACCGATCCGGGACGTGTGCGAGACTCTTACGACCCGCGACTGTAAGTGATCATCTTCCATTCAACTTCCTCCTTGTGTGCCCTGACACGTTGCAGTTTCCATGGTTCCTCCCACCGCTGCCAATGTCCACCTAATGGGACCCGACGTGTTTTACGTGAGCTTGTACCATGGTGAGACCATGATGATGGGGTATGACCTCTTCGTCATGCCGTCCTGCTCTCACATGCAGCATTGGTAGCATCTTCTTCATGCCTCCCAATTCTGTCATTCCGTTGCACGACCATCCGTACATGTCGGTCGTCTCCCGCGTGTACGTTCCGCGAAGTTTCTCGCCCTCGATTGTACTCACGTCGTCATCAGGTTGTATGGAGCTGTGCATCTGAATGCGTACTCAATAGTTGATGCCAACAGCACGGACGACGAAGGGTGTGTGGATCGATCGACCTTCGCGACGTTTCACCATCATCTCCCACAGGCAACATGCGCTCTTGGTTCGCCGATCTCGCGACAAATATCTTGAAGGTGCATTTCCCCAATGCCCTGGACTCACGTGAAAACATGTTGGCTGACGATCGAGGGCGATATCCCGTTAGCTCCATGCACGATGGAACTGAGTCCGTCGCATCACAACATCCATGAGCTCATGGCGGCAGGGGACATTGGGTGCGCCATTTTCGACGTCATGATTCCTCCCTACGACGAGTAAGTGGTCCGTGCGGCGTTCCTTTGTCATCTCACACCCTGCTCGTTCCACAGCGACCACCGCCACGGTCACGACTACCGCCTCGTTGGGTCGCACACACCGACCGCTGGTGACGAGCTGTTTGTGCTGCGACGAATATTTAAATCCCTGTCAAATTAATTGTAGTATGACCCTCGTTCTAGTATTACTAAACTTGCGCTTCATCCAGTACCGCCGTTGACGGCACGACCTTTCAAAATATAATCTTTTACTTATCTTGGACAGATTTTGCTAAGTAGAATTTCCCTGTGAACTTTCCCCATTGGACATTTGGCCGCGCCCACTGGGAAATTTTGTTCTAGAAATTTCCAGTGAGATGTTCTCACGGGGAAAACATTTTCACGTTCACAATTGCAGTTGAATGACAGAGCAGACTGAAGTCGACCTCATTGAAGGAAAGAAGAAGCACGCCCATCGCTTCACAGCATCACAGGACGTAGATCTCTTGAAAGAGGTCATCTCAATTGGCCCCTACTGCGCTCCTTACGGCCAGAGTAATAGACGATGGACAGAAGTTGCGGTCAACATGCAGTCAATTCACGGGGACAGCATCAGCGCCAAAGGTTGTCGCAAGCGCTGTGACGACTTGCTTTCTGCATTCCAAAAGGACAGCGTTGCGTCTCTTCGAGCGTCAGGGACAGATGAGCAGTACTCGGAACGTGACCAACTCCTACAGGACCTCACCGACATGGTAAGCTAGACTGCGTACGAAAGGAATCAAATGGGATCTGTAGATTGAAGCCGAACAATTCAAGCGAAGAGCCACCAAAGACGAGAAGAGCAAGCAAGAGGATCGTCGTGAGATGGACGGCCACATAATCCGTGCCGCTGCCTTAGAAGGTTTGAAGCGAAAGACTGTCGACGATGCCAAGGACGATGCGGACGATGAAGGCACCAACAAGGCTCAAATCAAGAAGGAGTTGCGCAACTCCACGTCCATGTCCGTGAAGGAATCAACCAATGCCTTGGCCAAGTTTGCGTCCGTGTTGGAGCACGCGAATGATTT